AATTACCGAACTAAGATCTTTTAGACAGTGATAATTAAATCATCAAATCAACCTATCCAAAGGAAATAAGAATGGATATAAAAACAAATATTGGTCCTTAAAAATAGAAAAGGGGCTTTGATTTAATTACAGGAGAAGTCTTAAAACAACTTCCAGAGGAAGCCATAATAAAACGTACACACCTGATTAATATCTCATTAAAACTAAGGTATTTCCCTAGGCTACGGAAAGAAGCTGATAAATTATGATCCTCAAACCAGGAAAACCTCCGAGCGAAGTTAAGTTATGTAGAACAATCTCTCTATTGCCTATATTAAAGAAACTATTTGAAAAAATACTCATGAAAAGGCCGAAACCCATCATTAAAGATTATAAGTTCGGCTTTAAAGAAAATCATTCAACTATAGGTACAATATAGACCAGGTTCGTAGAATCTCATATGTGATTGAAACAGCGTTACCAAACAAAGAAGTTTGCTGAGTCATCTTTCTTGATGTTGCGCAGGCTTTTGATAAAGTATGGCATGATATCTTAACATATAAACTAAATATACTACTTCCAAAGCCATACTAGAGCTACTGGAATCATACATTTCAGATAATTTATCTAGAGTAAAGAAGATGAAGTATTCTCTGAATTAAAAGAAATCAAAGTAGGATTACCACAGCAGTGGCGTAGCTATCATAAGGCAGTTCGATGCGAAGCACCGGGTCCTCGGTGATATTTAGAGCCCACTGAAAATTATAGCACGAATTACAAAACGTTCTCAATGGAGATTGTTAGAGCCTATTTTGATTTTTACTGAATTTTGTTTCTTTAAAAATTATTAGGAGAAAGTGGTAATAGTGGGACATGGTATGACTACAGTGGGACAAAGCCATTAGAAAGACATAGCTTGTAAGCTACCATTACCAAACTACCATGGTGAAACAGAGAAGGCTATAACAAAATGTTTTTTTGATTTTAGTAAATATAATATCTAGTTATTTGAAGTTTTATGAAAGAGTTAACCCTTAACTGGTAACTGGTCCGACGTAGTCTGTGAGACTACTTTTTTCGAAGGACAAAAAAAATAAAATAGGCAAAATGAAATGTTTTATTTAACATAGATAAAACATTACTTAATAATAATAATATGTAAAAATAAACATATTTAAGACTAAATAAAAACAAAACTAAACACAAAACTAAACCCAAAACAAAAACCCGCACAGAAATTTTGAAAAAGTACATATTTTTAAACCAAAGGCAAAAATACAAGAAAAAAAAAGAAATATTCTTTCATATCGCAATATTAAATTGTCAAAGTGTTAGGTAAACAAAAACTTACATAAAATACAAATCTAAAAAACAGTTGATTTCCTGCATGAGCCAAAGTTCACTACCCTTGAACTAATTTCTGCCACAGTTTTTAGGAAAATGATGCCAGCCTGTCACAAACATGGCTACGTGTCGAGGGAAAGGATTAGATGTAAGGACCTGCCTGTGGGAGGTCCCAATAACCAATAAGAAAGAATTGTTTATATGGAGTAGTCTGTCAGACGACGCTGGACCAGTTAAGGGTTTATGAGAATGTTTCTAATATTTTTGTACAATATCTTTCGTTTATAACTAAGAGTTTATGAAATATTTGCAATTTAGAATAAAAAAAAAATACATTTTGACAGCAGTTCGTGTCGAGTTATTGAGACCAAACTTGATAGGCTGATATGGAGGGGGGTGTCGCCTTTACAAAATAAAGTTACAATTTTTTAATAAAACAATAATTAGTATCTACGATTTCTTTTAAATACAAACCAATAATTTGATAAAAATTTTCCAAAATTTTCGACTTGAACTGTCATAGTTCGAATGTGATTTACAACGTTTCTGTATAAAAATGTTACCTCCACCATACCTTAGAGGGAGATGGAGGGGGTGGAATCCTCAAAAAAATAAGTTACAACTTCTTATGTGAAATCGTTGAAATCTACGATCTTTTCTACAGACAAATTGTTCTTCCGAATTATGACGTTTCAAGTCAAAAAATGTTCAGTCCATAGATAAGAAATATAAATATACAGGGTGTACCAATAAAAACTCCCAGGCCGGATATTTTGGTAAGTAATAGAGATATTTTAATTCTGGTGACTAAAATTTAAGTAACGCAATGTACAGAAATATTTCTGAATCCCCCATTAAATTACCTTTTCAATGATGTGTCATACATGGTAAATTACCTATTTAAAATTAAGGTAATGGAGAAGTGCAAGGGAGGGGGTTGACACATGACAGATGTCTGTATTGTAAAAATGTTTTTAATTTGGAATAAAAATCGTTCTGTTTTAGTATTTACTTAAAATCCAATGATTAATGCTGAAAAACAGGATAAAACTGTTTTGAGTGACCCACTCTGTATATCAAATATGGCTAAATTTATCAAATTAGTTCATAGAACAAAATCTGCTTTAAAATGCATTTTTTACAAGATGCGCTACACAAGAAAGATCCTCCCAGCGAAAAAAAAACTATTGAGCGCAGCGTTATCTACATATTGACCTATTTTAAATCAATTTATATCTAAAACTGAAGCTCTCTTAGTGATCTGTAACTGGCTTTTACAGAATTAGAATATCTCTATTACTTACCAAAATATCCGACCTGGGAGTTTTTATTGGTAAGTTACAACTTCTTATGTGAAATCGTTGAAATCTACGATCTTTTCTACAGACAAATTAATTGTTCTTATGACGTTTCAAGTCAAAAAATGTTCAGTCCATAGATAAGAAATATAAATATACAGGGTGGGTGTACCAATAAAAACTCCCAGGCCGGATATTTTGGTAAGTAATAGATATATTTTAATTCTGGTGACTAAAATTTAAGTAACGCAATGTACAGAAATATTTCTGAATCCCCCATTAAATTACCTTTTCAATGATGTAAGTATGGTAAGTATGGTAAGTATATTAGGATGGGCCGAAAAATTAAAAATGAAAATTTTAATTTGCTATAGCATTTAAAAGCTGCGTTTCATTATAAAAATTGCTTGTAACTTTTTCACAATTTTAAAATTATATTTTCAGCCCTCTACCAGCCCCCAAAATAGCTAAAAATAAAATTAAAATTAAATGTAAAATTTTAATTAGCTATACCCATTAAAATCTGTTTAGAAATTTTAAAAATACGTTTTAAGCCGTCTACTACCCCCTTAGAAAATTTATATAGACAGAAATTTACTTTTGTCATGACAAAATTGAAATCCGGAATTTTAGAAGAATTGTAACCCAACTATTTTCCACTATAAACCAATGAACTGGAGTGGGGTAGAATCACATCAAAGTATGTGAGTTGTCGTGTCTAATGACAGCGCAGTCAATTTTCTATGTAGGCAAGTCAATGTAAAATAAAGTAATTTTTTAAAAAAATTGATGAAAAGAATCAAAATAATGTGAAAAAAAGTACAAGTAACATAGGTGACAAAAAACATCAAAGCAAGATTTACGTCGTTTTAGATTGTAAAACAGGATAAAAATCAAATGTAAAACTAAAGAAAACACAAGAAGAAATCAATTCAATGTCTTTTTAAAGCTTCTAATGTAAGTAAAATAATGTATTCATGTCTAAATATAATATTTATTGTAAGCTAGTCACAATATGTATCTTACGAAGTGTAGTTTATTTTATTATAAGTTTCTATATAATGTAAAATTTTACAGTTATAGATGCCGAGTTACAAACAACAATAATTATGCATTAAATTTAACTTACTAGAAAATAAAATTTATTTTTTCTAGAGTTTTAATGTTAAATAACGAGTTGCTACTGTTATTTTTTTTGGAACCCAATTGTGTCATTGTAAATGTTTTTTATGGGATACTAAACGTTTAGAACAGTGACAGCATATATATCGTTCCTAGTGCCGCTAGAGCATTTTCTAGAGATGATGCTATTCTATACTAAAATGGCGGAGTTTTCCATCTCCTTTTAAAAGGCACTCAGAAAGCTGCGCAGTGCGA